TTTGCCAATTTCTTTGAAATGCTAATTTAAATTTCAAACACATTTAAATGCGAAAAAGTGTGCACAAACTGATACTAGAGAAATGTGATGAAAAAAAATGATCCAAATTACTTATTTTTCCAATTTCAAGTTTTGCACTCTTTCATTATGAAGAAAATTATGAGATTACGACAGCTTTCTGATATTATTTGTTATTGTTATAAAAAAAGTTGAAAAAGAGTTTTAAAAAGCAACAACACTTTTATTACTATTATTATCATTATTGGTACTGTAATAATTTTCTTTATTATCATTGTACAGTAATGAAGTAATGATAAAATTTCATTTATATTCTATCCTAAATTTTATACTTGAATAAAATAAAGAACTGATATCGGAACTTTCTAAATATAAAATAGCTTAACATAAATTCCATTATTCGAATTTGCTATTTCTTTTATATTAATTCAAATTAAATAAATTATAATTTAATTATTTGCTTTAGCTTCAGAAATAACTTCAGGACAAGCAAAGTTTATCTTTTGACATGCTTTATTATCATTTTCTGAAAATTCAACTCAAAGAAAAAAAGGGAAAGATAAATATTATCACATAGTTTTCATAGATTTCATTATCCTGAGATATCTTAAATATTATTACACAAAATGATATTTACCAAATTACATAAACATTAAAGGTTTGAGTGGGAAAAAATTTTCTCCCAATAAATATTCAAAATAAATATTAAATTAAAAGTGAAAAAAAGTGAATAATTAAAATTTAATAAAACGAATAGAAATTATTCATTCAAAAATGTTTTTAGAATTTTCTCTAAGAAGAAGAAGAAGAAAGAAAAGGTATTTTAAGAGATAACAAACAATTTCATAAATATTTTAATGGAACTCTCTCATTCGTTTTGCAGAAATTCTTTGAATGATTCAATATTTGAAATATGAGTAAGACAAAATGAGTCATTTTATATTTATGAATTTTCTGAATTTCTCAAATTTCATGCTTAATACAATCGATATCATTCTTTTTTCTATTAAATATCTCGATCATCTCAATCATCTATTTTCATACAGTATTTAGAATTAAATTTTTAAATGCTTCAAACTACAACAACTCATTAATCCATCTTTAACCATTGTCTCATTCATTTATTTTTTCATTGGTTGAAAATAAATGGAATGATTTTCTTTTTCAATACACTCAGAAAAAACTTCATAGATCAAAGTTAAGTTAAATGAGTCATATTTTATCAAATTTTCTAAACAAAGATTACGGATACAAGTGGGAGACAAAAAACTTAGACCTGAAAATTTCGAAATTAAACAATAAATGGATAGAGTAAAATTAAAATTTACCTAATACCGTATTTTACTCTTGCCGTATTTTACAAGTCTCTTCCGAAGCATTTCATTTTTCCTTCTTTCTTTTTCATCGCTACAGCTAATTATTTGTAATTTGTCAATTTTTTAAATCACTCGAAATTTATTTTATTTCTATTTTAGATTTTTTCGTACTAAAATATGCGTAACTTTTTGAATGCAAAGAATGAATTAAATTAATTTGTCAAAAAGAGAATTTTTGAGAGCAACGAAAAGTAAAATTAAATTTGAAATAGACTAAAATTTGAGATGAAAAGATAAATTAATGAAGAGTGAAGTAAAAATGAGCCATTCTTCCATCGATAATTTGAATTGAATTAAAATGACTAAAATAATAAGAAGAAGATATCATCCTTTCTTTTAATTCACAATATTGATATGGCGGAGTAAGAAAAACAAATCGTTGGATAAATTTACAAATAATTCATCCTTTCAACAACGCAAAAAATGATGATTAAACAGGTAGATATTGATCGGAAAAGTAAAATGAATTGAGATTCCGGAAAACATAATGTTTATCATTTAAAAGAGTTGAAAAGAGGACGAATTAAAATTTCGAAAAAACACAACAAAAACCATTTTGTAAGAAAGGAAAAAAATGGATTAAAATTTAAAGAAAAGATAACGATTATTAATTACAAATGACGAGAACGATATAGAAAATGACAAAAGTAAATTTTAATAAATATTTATTACATATAAAATTAGAAAAAGAATAGAATATCAGAGAAATTAATGTAATTTAGATAATTTCATAACAACAGTGATAATAATTGTTAACAATAATAATGATAACACTCATTTTAATGAATTTTATAAATTGCTGAAATTTCAACAAATATTTGTAATTATTCTATATCGGTTAAATTTTTCTGTCGCATTTAATTTAAATTCTAAATATTCAAGGATATTAATAATTACTTTCTGTTAGTCATTTTCTTAATTAGCTTATTATGAAATGTAAATAATATCAGCAGAACTTTTCTATCAAACTTTAATACACCTAAGATATAATCTGAAAAATTTCCATAAATGGAATGAATGTTACATAAATGTATAATGAAAAACTAAATAAAATTTTTTTGTAATTTAATTTAATTCAAAATAAAATTTTGTTTTTGTAATTGCAATTAATTAATTCAATGTAATTGAAATAAATGTACGATGAAGAACCAATTTGTGTAATTTTATTTTTTATAATTGAAATGCATTAAAAGTTTAAAAGAATTTCTTAAGAAATGTATGCATAAAATTGCAGAAATTATTCGATTTGAACAAAAATTGAATTAATTTTTAATTTCATATAAAACAATAATTTTTGGAATATGTGAAGTTTGAAGAGACTGATAATACAACGATTGCAATGCTAATTGATATCGAATGCTGTTGTTGTTGTTGTTGTTGTTGTTGTTGTTATTTGTTGTTATTGTTATTGTTATTGTTGTTGTGAAAGAATAAAGTGCTATTAATATCGATTGAATAGCAAAGAATAAAAAGTTGGATATAATTGTTTATTAATAAAAATCTGACAAATATAAGTTTTTTACTTTTAATTTCATTTACGAAAGTATGAAACGATTGCTTAGTAAGGATGAATTTTTCTTCGTTGCACGAATATATTTATTATCAAATTTAAATTATCAATCGTTGATAATATTTTTGAATTGAATGTATTCTTTCCTTTTAGCAACTATTATTGCTAACATTCATTGATTTATTTTCAGGTCGTTTATTTCATTTTATTTAAAATATACAAATTTTCTATCCAATTCTTCCTCTTTTGTTTTATTCCAACTTTTTGCAGCGTATATTTCACAGTTCTCTTTTCTTATTCACTTTTCTCTTAATTTCTTTCATTTTAATTATTGCAGCAATTTATTATATCTATTCAAAATATTCATCTAATATCCATTTTTAAGTGATTAACAAAATTTAGCTTATTACTATTATCATTTCTTTTTCACTTTTCGAAAAAAGAAATGAACAAAGAAAAAAAAGAAAATTAAATTTATCAATTGTATTATATATCTGTATAGAATAAGTTGCTTTACCTGAATAATGATAATAATGATAATCATTCCGTATAAATATCTATGTGACTGTAACTAAAGTACAGATTGTACATATCTAAAATGATAATTATTACAGTATCAAATGATTTCTCATTTATATTACAATCTTTGCAATGTTTTATATTTTCATTATTTTGTATTTATTGATCATTCTCTGTTTGTTTGTTTTTTTTTGCATATTTATTTACTTAATTTTATTTTGCATTTTATTAATTTCAAAAAATGATAACAAATATTTGTTTACCTAATAACATCGCAAATAAAATACTGCCAATCGATTGACCTTTTTAAATTTCATAACAATTTTTAAAACCGAAAGATAATTTAGCATTTACCAAAAATGGAAAATGAAATAATCGCAGTAACTGAAATTATTCCAGAAATTGGCTATGACAAATGAAATCTGCAGGATATAACTTTTTCAATGCGACAATATTATAAAGTGATTGGTACACTTTCTGAGCATTTAATTTGCTATTAATGGGATTGATCTGAAATGATTTGAAGTTTGTAAGTGGAGAAGTAACGATAAAAAATAATAGAGAAGGAAATAGTGAATTACTTTCACCGATAAGCTATAAATGCCTTTGAGAAATTATGCATAATAAACAAATTATACAAAAGATTTCATTTATATATGTAATATACTTCTATTTAATCAAAATAAATGAAATCAAAGACTTGCGTATTTGAAAATTCAAATTCGATGTCAAAAAAGGATTTTAAAATGAAGTTTTAAAAATATGCAAAATTAAAACAAGCTTCAGTTTCTGATTGGTCATTTTCTATTTTAATTCCTGTATTGATTGGTGTGCATGCCATCTTCCATATTTGATTAGGTGGAAAGAGTGTCTGAAATTTACAACGAACAATGTTATCGCAGTGGTTGTGGCGGTCCTCAGTAAAGGAAATAATGCCAAAACATTATGCAGAAGTACATTTCTATCCTTTTTCATTTTAATATATCAAATCTAAATATTAAAATTAAAAAAAGTGTTATAAAATTTTAGTACCATTGTTTTTTTTTCAGTAAATGATTAAATTATTAATTATTTTTGTTATTTATATAAACAAAACTTTAAAGGTTTTCAAAGAACGTTCATCACGTAACGCATTTGTGCTTAATCCTATTAAAATGGCTGTATCACCAGATGGAAATTATGTCTTCATAATTGGTAGTCGAAAAGTTAGTTGATATAAAAGAGAGAGAGAGAGAAAAGGAACAAATATATGATTTGCATGCTAATGCCTTTGCATCTATTTTAATTAAAATGTATCGAAACTTGAAATTTTCAAAATTATTAGAATAATATTGAAAATTGAAGGCAATGAAATAGAAAGGACATAGTTAAAATTGATAAAATTTCACAAAATTTTAGAAAAGAACTAAGTCGTGTACTTTAACCTTTTATCATTACTTTTATAATAATTATTATTAATTAAATTTATCTGGAAAAGCTCAACTTTTACATGATATCGATAGATACGATCGATTAAGATTAATTGTTAAAAATGAATTTCGTTATAAAATTAATTTTTACTAAAACAAAAGTAGATAATGGTGACATCGGAACACGATCCAATGGAATGGATCACATCATTCAATGTGGACGTGTTTGATATAAGTTTGGAAGGACGTCGAACAACATTTCTTAATGATTTATTCGATTTTGGTGATTATCTTGTACATATATATGCGCTTGATAGCAATACACTTGTTGTATTGGATTACAATCATCGTCAAACAACGCTACGACAACGAATTGTTAAAGTGAGAGAATGATATTATTAACATTGTAATAAATGTTTATTTTTAGTTTCCTTTTATTTGAATTTTTTTCAATAAGTCAATCAGTGGAAATTAATATTTAAATGCTTTTAATACAAAATTTTATTTATTATAAAACATAAAGAAGAAAAAAATAAATAATGAAGTAATAACAATAATTAATAATAATAATAAATAAATAAGTAAACAAATAAATAAATAAATAATAATAAATTATAATAAAATTATCCTATATTAGATTGCCTCGAATATGGCAATTTCACCATTTCATCGATGTTATCGTTATGGTACCGCTCAAACATCGTTCATTAAAGCAGCGATTGGTAACAAATTATGCGCAGTTGTCAGTAGACAACGATTTGGTGACTAACTATTCTTAAATTTTTATTACTAACAAAATAAAAGAAGAGAAGATTAACAGCAAAATATAAATTGAAAATAAATTAAATGAAATAAAAAACTGGAATTGAATTAAAAATAAAAATCGTTGATTTCAAATTTTTTACCTTAAAGATTAAAGAGAAGTAATTCATAGAATTCGTTTCCTAAAAATTAATATATTTCTAATTTGATTAAATATGTACTTAAAATAATATATTTTACTTAAATATCACTTCATTGTAGAAAAGAGAAAAAAATTCATTTAATTTAAAAATGAATTAAATTTAATGCAATTTGTTATAAATACAATGTGTGGAAAATTATATTATTATAACATTTGCAGAAGAACAATTTTTTGCATTAATTATTCCAAAAGATCCAATTGAATCGGATAAATTCAATACACCAATTAATATTTCCATATATGTCAATAATGTAAGAAAAACTTCTCTTATTTATATTCCGAATGGGTGTGCAGAATATTTTTACTTCATTCTGGACATATCATTCTTTTAATAATTCAATTGAAATTAAGAACACGAAGCTATAGACTTTTACCTGCTAGAAATTGTAGATCCTTATCTGGTAGAGTTATGGCCCTTTACCTGCTAGAAGATATCGATAAATTTATATTATATGCTAATAATCAAGAGAAGAATGAATTATACACTTCGGTTGACTGATCTAAAAGAAACTACCAACGGGAATGTTGCGAGATTGTATTGAAAGATTTTAAAATTAATCTCTGCAAATATTATTCAAACAAATATGCACTATAATTCCTGTTGCTTAAAAATATTTCGATTTAAAAACATTTTTATAAATTTTTATCACAATACAATAGTCCTCTTTCGAAACTAAGCAAAGCTGTAAATTCCAGCAATTAAATTAAATCTGAGTCATTTTTTTTGGTTATTCTATTTTCCTGATGATATGAACAACATGAGAAGAATTCCTAACACTATCAAAACGAAGAAGAGTAGAGAAAATACATGAACTTGTCATTAATCAGTATTCTAGATTCTTTTGGTACCACAACCAGCATTAGCACATTTTTATGATAACAAAATTTGTTTAATTTTGCAACAACAACAAAAAAAAATTCGTAGAAAATTTTTCTTCAATTTTAATAATATTTTAAGAGATCTTTTTTTGTCTTTTCATAAATTATAATATTTGATTATTTGTCATAATAAACTTGTCTCTTTCCCATTTCAATTTTTAGATGAATTTTGAACTTCAAGCAACATTATCATTGAATATTTGTCATTATATAGCGCCATTTTTTTCATGTAATGATCGTGACCTATGCTTTTTGACTGTTAGTGATTTGACCTTAAATATCGAACCATCGAATGTCAGCTGTTTAAATTTATGGTATATTTTCAATATTCACAAAATTTTATTCATATTTGCTAATTCTAATTAATTAAAGGATTGTTTGCTATCAAAGTAATTTAGTAAGTTTGCAATTCGTTAAAACTTGCCAATTTATCTCATATAATGAACGAAAGATTCGAAAGATTCTTTTCGGACACAATTGCAGTGAAAAGCACAAACTTAATTATAATATTTAGTAATTATCTGAATTTATTATTCATGCAGATAATTAATTAAGGAAATTAATCGCTTAATTAATTGCGTTTGCGAATATAATAATTAATTAATAAAAATGATCCGACAATTCATTAAAATTTACCAGTTTATTCTACTTTGAAATTTATTAAAACATATCTGTCAAATTTATTTCGCTTAATTAAAGAAAAAGAGAAGACCATAAATTTCGGGTATTCCATCAAAAAACGAATATTAGTAGGAAATGAAGCTGGCGGAAGAGGAAAAATAGTAAAAAAATACAATTCAACTTTTATACGCTATTTATAGCAGTTATAAGTGGTACTCACGAAATGCAGCAGCTGATGAAATTAGTGGTTTTCCGTGGGATGAATATCAGCAAACGCCAATGCTCGTCGATTGTTACACTTGCCAAAATGGCAATCAACAGGTTTGATTAAGATTATAGAAGTGAAAACAAATTTAAATTTATAATCCTCCAAGTGATTATTATTGGAATTTTTTTTTAGGTCGGCTTGATTGCACGTTATCGAACACCGTCAAATCATTGGCGTTGGCAAATTTGTTCCGTACTTCAATGGATGCAAATGCGCTTCGTACGATTATTTTTCCTAAGCATGGACTTGCAAGTGGAAACATTTGGAAATATTATTCTACATTTTACAACACTTCTGAGCTATCTGAGGGATCGCTTAATATTACGGCCACGTGCCAAGTAGATGTATTTCCATATGATTTTTTATCATTTCCAATTATCGATCAAACCGATCGATTTGATGGTTGCATTAACGAGACTGTAAAACTTTCCATAATTCCTCATAGAAACTTTCATACATTGGACGTTCAGATTTGGAATTCTAAATTTAAAATCGTGGAAATGGATCGATCGTTCCTACATGTTGAAAGATATTCATTATGTCGACCAGTTAACAGATTTAGCATCAGAAAGCGGGCAAATTGTTTCTTTCATTTCACAGGTAAATAATTTTCCACCAGCAAATTTATAGCATTTGTAAAATGTTATAATATTTAAGCTTAGTGTTATCATATCTCGGCAACGGAGAAAAACCAATCAATACTGTCACTTTGGATGCCAAAAAACCGTCAAAAAAAAGTAAATTTCCGAAATATCATAAAGCCATCACCAGATTTGAAACAGCTCATTTAATTGAATAACAAGGCTTGAAAAGCATTTTTTTGCAGACATGGACTGAAAACGAATGCGAACAGAGTATACGCCTAGGGAAATCTCCTGTATCCATGATGTCACTGTTTGCCATCGCCGATTTTGAACTTCGGCGTCAAGGAAGCCTTGAGCTATGCAAACTCCGTCGCCAATTCTTGAAACATGCGAAAAATGCTTAACCCACCCTTTTCCAGAAGATGGCAATACTGGTTGACTAAGCAATACTGACTGACGAATATGAAAAGGTCCAACTTCCGACAAATGAACAAGAAATAAACTAGACTAAGCACCGATCCTAATCCCAAAAACCAATATAATGGAATCACACCCACATTGCTCTCACTTTTGTTATTCATATACTGAAGCATGAAAACCAAACATTCCCAACTAGTGGAAATTTAATCTCTCCAGACTTCATATGCTGTATTCCATTTACAATTTAGATTACTTCGAAACATTCATAGAAGCTCATGAACTAGTAACCAGATAAACATTTATTTTAAGATGGCGCAGGATGACAACGATAAACAGTAACAAATAAAAGTAACTTCTATTCATCTCCATCACTAACTTCACCTTCACCGCTGGCACCTTTCTTCGCATTACGCCTTTTCACGCGCCCTGCACGACCACCACCGAATGGTGACTTTAATGAAAAATCAATGTGCTTTTGGGAATCCAAGCGAACAATGAATGATGGTACATTCACAATTTGACGTCGAACACTAAAATAAAAACAAGACATCAGCATTTCGATGATCTGAATCAAGATTATAATAGGATAATTTCGTTGCGACTGTTTTAAACTTCATACTTGCCATCCCTACTCCTTCCTGAGCTGCTCCTCGATCATAATGATATGAAAAATCTACGAAATTTCAATATTATTCAGAGCCTTAATATCAAAACAATTACCATAGCAATAATCATAGTACTACAGTATTTGTATTGTAAAACAGCTGATTATTAAATTAATCTAAATATCATATAGTTTTCGTCAGTTTCTGTAAAACTTTGGATTAGATGGAAGAATATATATAAAGAAAAGGCCAGAAATGTATACCGTATATGCTTTTGCCTAATTAATACGCGAGCATGATGAATGGATTTCGCTAAACCAAGTTTGAAAACTTGAGTTTGCAAACGACGCTCTAAGAAATCCTCAACTCGTAAACCCAAAACATAATCGAGCTTCATGCGATCTTCGCTTAATACTCCAATTCGAACTAGACGACGCAACAATGCATTACCTTCAAACAAACGCCTTGGATCCTGAAAAAGCCAAAGGTCATAGATACGATAGAAAAGTCATAAAAATAAATCAGCCATTTTTCATAACTCTTTCAATTCCCTCTTTATTCTTACTAACACCAAAATAACTTAGTAAGAGCAGCCAAACCATCTTATTAGCATCAAGAGATGGTTATTACGTTATCTAACAAGTCAGACCTATTTACTTCTTACCAACATATCCTTTTTAAACAAAGTTTTTTTCGACAAGCATAGCTTTATAATAAACACAGTAATGTTAATTGCATTATATCTATTATCCCAACAAACCTTCTCTTCAAGCGTAAGTAACGTCCGAGCAGCTTTTCTAATTTTCGCTAAGGTGTACTTCACACGCCACACTTCGCGTTTATTACGCAAACCAAATTCTCCAATTAATTTCAATTCCTGTAATACATTAAATGATTGTACAAATTTGTTTTAGAAAATCAAATTATCCAAAAATCAAATGAACTAAGAAATAAGTACATTCAAGACTCCTTCATATCCAAAGACCTACCACTTTTTACTATGTAATTAAGTTCTAAACATCACACACAGCAAAATTCTTCGAAATGAATGCACAAACCTGGTCGAGACGTTCCTTTTCGAATGGACGTCGAGGACTTTTGTACACCTTCGACATAACATTTTTAACACGCGGCATTTCGTTCTATTTTATCAAACTGCTTTCGTAGAGTTATAAGCGATCTCTCTAAATTATCTTCATACAGTACATTTTCGAGAGATCAACGATGATGTTACTAATCGCAAATCTTTAAGGTGCACCAGTGCAGCGTTAAGTATGCCCCACATTTTGAAATATGTCAAGCATACTAAACTACTAAATTTCCAGCGCTATTTCAACATCAAAATATTCAGTGAAATAGTCAACTTCATTCAGCTTCTTGCTCAATCAAAACTCACTTATGCAGTGTAGCTTTTTGTAAACTATTAGCTCTACAGAATTCACGCACATGAGATACATCCGAATAAACACATAGCAAACAAACTTTGCCCCTATAATTCTCAAAACACCCGCGAGCGACAACATAAGATCCAGTGGAATATAGCTGCAATTGGTAAGTAGTCAAATAATCGTTTCAAAAACCTCAGCAGCAAGTTGTAGCTCAAATGAGCATGTTTGATATTATCGCCTAATGTAGTTGATAGGAAAGTTATTGAATTAATAACTATTGGACTTTGGTATCTACAAAGTTTGTTACCACTCGCTTCAAAGATATTTATGCTTGCCGATAAAGGATACAGTAGTTGTAATGCAAACTTTACATACCATATTATAACAAAATTTAAAAGTTCAAACCCAAAATTTTCCACTTTATATCTAATTCGATAATTTAATGCATTTTGAGCGCTTAAATTTCATTTATTACGTATACATTTTATAGTGTACCTACAAGTGTGCAAATGTAAATATAAATATATAAACGTACCTATATGTAAATGAAACAAAATAATACCAATTTAATTTTTCATTAAATTATTATAAAGAGATGGTTGTCTTAGCATTTCAATTATTTGTTTTATTTAATGCCATTACGGCAGTAAATAAAACGCATGGTGAATTATCATTTCATGATGGTAATAATAATCGGAATATTGTACGAGAGGTCGAAAAAAGCAACCAAATGATACCAGCAGCTGCATCTCAAGGAATAGCCGATACTACAAGTATTGCATATCTTCTCGTTTAGCAACAGCATTGAGAATGCAATGCATTGATGCTCCATCGTCCCAGAAATTCTCCATTGTTTTCCTCTAGCGCTATTTTTTCTAGTTTGAGGTCGAAGTGATCCAAATAATATATTATCGACTTTACTTACTTGCAAAGCTTTTAAAAAGACAATTGTCGATGTTGAGATGGCATGGGAAATCTTAACACTTCATTCTTCACCACAGCTCAATATTACAAAAATTTAATTAAATCATTTATATAAAATAATTTTGTTTAATTAACCGTTCGTAGACCTTCAGCATACTATCGATCAAATCAAACGGACTGTACTGAGAAATATAATACAAAGGAATATAACGACAGCGGTAGATTCGAAACATCATCGCAACCATCGCTGAGGGAAATACAATGGAAAATAAATATGTTCTGGACAACTGTTATTATAATTTCAATCTTGTGGATGTTAATTTTGATTGGCTTGACAGCTGTTGTATATATACGAATTGTATACATGCATCATACTATTTCGCAGATATTTTGTCCGAAAGATTGAAGATTTTCATTTAAAGAATAATTTAATTTTGAAAATTTTGACTATCTAAATCACTTATTGAAAGATTCCAGAATTAAAAACTAAGGTGAAAAGTTTTGACAATCCTAAGTAAAGTTCGTTTTGTAACTATCTTGCGAGTAAACAACATTGCCAAGGTGGACAACTCTGACTCGTGCATCCACCAAATTCATTACAGATGTTTTACAATTTTGAGAAAATGATCTTTTTTCACGTATTCAACGTGCGTTGCTCATGTCCGTTTACAGAGATATATTTTTGTTGAAATAATATGGCTTTCATACAATTAACGAGAGCAATTCCATTGAAAATCATATGGAAATGAGGTGAATTTCTATACATGTTCCAATGTAAATGTTTTACTTTATACGTCAATGAATAACAACTTAAATTTCATCACTTAAATTAATTCTTCCAAAACGAATTGAAGCCTTGCTTCCTGTTTATCCTTTCAGGGAAAAAACCCCCCTAAAAGACTTCAAGAATTGTAAAATTCGCGACCATGAAGCGCACGCTGCAAATCTATTCCATAGCATTTTGTAATGCTAAGATTTACCGGTCGTGATATAATGAGATGACGGTCGGAATATTTGGGAAGTTCTCTCGGGGAATGTTTGCTGTTAAAGTTTACCCTTTTTGTCTGTGTTTTGACTTCACTTGTCGGGTAACATGGTCATACGTGTACTTTTTTTTAGGGATTACAATGTCGTTTTTCATCAGGAATCGATCAAATCATGGCAGTGATGCAAAGATGAGAAATAAGGTACTTTGTTGAAAATTTGATCTTTCCCTCACAGAATTTGGCGTCAGCTTTATCTATATGTTGAAAGTGAAATTATGTAAGCTCCTATGAACATATGAAGCTAATCGTTTAAAGTTGTTTTTTGTTTGCACGGCATAAATCTCGTCTAATGTTTGAACACGAAACTTCCATGAAATTTTGACAAAAAGAGACATGTAAAATGAATCATATTGTTCATCCCTTATCTTTCTCTTGATAAAATAAATTATTGGTATAGATGAAAGGAAAGTTAACTGCACCAAAATTATCGAAAAGAAAGGCGAAATTGGCCAATGAGGATATTTCTTCGGATGAAGGCGATTTATTGTACGATGGTGATGGCAAATTTATTGAAAATCAAAGTGATGAAGAGCAATATGAGGACGTGCAAGAGATGGCATACCGGAAAGCGAAACAACTTTTGGACGATATTCAGGTATTTCAAGTGTTTTTCAAAGGATTTTAGATATTCAATATCATATTCACTTATGTTTTACGTGGATTTTAGTCTGCAAATATATGATCATATTTCGTCCTGTGGTTTTAAAATTTATCTCCCTTACATGTAATTGGTTTTTTTATATCCAGACATTGGTTGTAGGTTGACAGCAATGCATTTATTGACGGGACTCAAATAGGAGGCGGGAGCATGGATTGAACAGTGCATGAACGTGAATTTAGCTTTCATGAGATACATTGTATTTTTTGCTTGATTCAATACTTTTTGTTTTGGAAAACTTAGAATTGTATTCCGGATGATTTATTCTGAGGTAACTGTTAAGACAGAATACAAACAATGAAGTTCAGTTTATGACTCAATTATAATAAATTTGAAATTTACGGAGGATAGTAATTTAGACCGAACAACAGAATGAAGAAGGCGAACCCTATGATAATGAGACAATTACCCGTCGTTTGCGCGACGATGCCTTATCGAAAGTTGCAACTCAACATCGAAGAGTTGCAGAGGGAGTACGGTTGAGTGGTACTGCGATACAGTATAAAGCCCATAGGTTGGTAATGTGATTTTGCACATATTCTCTTTTTCATATAAAATTTATTGGGAACTATTTTCGGAAGAAAATAATGAAATTTGAAGTTAGAAGATTGACTGTTTGATTCATAATTTTAAATAGTGTTAGATGGGATGCAGTAAATTGATGGTTTGCTTTTTCTTTGAAGTTAATATTTAACCATTTACGGAGAATCAGAAAAGTTTCTCCCGGATAATGAGTGATAAATTTGTATTATTTGATTGTCTTCTCTAGTAGTTTCAACTTCTCGAATGTTATCAGATGTCATACTACTTTGATCATTGGATGTTAAGTGCCATGTTACTTTTCATTGTGTTGTAGTTTCGAAGTTGTTAAAACTTATGTCCAATTTTACCTCTTTAAGTGCTAATAGGCCATTAGGTAAAGAAGCCGGAAATATAGCGGGAACAATAAAAAGATTGATGTGTACTGGGTAAAGCAATATTGTCGTTTGAAACGTATGTAATGCCACACTTCAAGTTCCAGGTATTCAACTGTTGCGGTTGTTATATCACATGATGGCAGATATGTGGTGAGTTGCTCGAAGGATGCAACGATAGCGAAATGTTAGTCTATTGGACAAAATTCTCTCACAAAATATACTTTTAAGATTTGTATTTTTTAATTCACTGATACTTTGAGTCCTCAGCAGTGAATGTAGGAAAAGTTTGAGTCTCTCGAAAATTTACTCTCAATATCACAAACTGCCGTTTGACACAAGAAAGATGGAAAGATATTTGACTTCGTCTTAAATATCATTGCACTGTGAAATATAATTTTAGGAAAAGGTATTGAAGAGAAATTTTTCTGTGTCCATAGCGGTGAGTCGAACTGTAAATGAGCTTTAGAAATGTTCGATGTTCATTACTTTCATTATTCCATTTTTTTCTGAAGATGAATCGTCTATTTTTTGGAGCTTCTTCGCAAATTGCTTTATTTTTCAGATGATTTAGAAGAAGGGAAGATAGTAGCTTCGGTAAAATACGTTAAAGGAGATTGTATATTTCATCGAGGCCAAATATTTTGTCTTGCAATCTCGGCCAATGATCGATATCTTGTAACTGGTGGTAGCGATGCTATTTTACGGGTTTGGAATTTCGGTAATTTGCAACATGTTAAAAATCTTACTGGGCATACGAATGCGATAACCGGTTAGTTTCCTGATTACTCTGTGCAATTAATTTTCTAATTTTCTGTATATTCCAAAATCTTAGATTCATTGAATTTTTTTGCTTTTAATTTCTTGTTCATGAAATTTTTAAAAATTGTATAATCAAAACTAAACTGATCCTTTATCACTTTACAGGATTGGTATTTCGATTAAATACTCAGCAACTGTACAGTTGCTCCAAAGATAGATGTGTTAAAGTATGGGATTTGGAGCAGCTAGGATATGCAGACACGCTGTTTGGTCACGTTGATGCAGTAGTAGACATTGACGCCTTATCAAGGTAAATTTTCTAGCAATTTTGAGTTAGAATTTCTATTATCGTTTAATGTTTGTTGCATTTCAAGATTCTACTTTTTCGAAATTTTAGGACATCTTGAATTTAATGAAATCAGTACATACCATTGATTTACTAGTCTATTGGCTTACAATTTTTCCCGAAAATTGGGAAGAGATATTTTGGATTTGAGAATGCAGATTTATTTGAAAGAAAAAAGTGTATTTACAGGGAACGTTTGATAACCGCAGGTTCTCAAGATCGCACGGTGAGATTGTGGAAGGTACCTGAAGATAGTCATTTGATATTTAACTGTTATTCAAATTGCTTTAGTGTTGATTGCGTGGCACTTATCAATGAAGATCACTTTGTGTCCGGTTCAGCTGATGGGTTAGTTAAGTTATTACCTCTCGATTTATAACGAAAGAGACCAGAATTAAAATTAAAGAAAAAAGTTGAAAAAAAGGCTAATTTAGAGTCAAGTTCGGTGACACGGGGAAAAAATGTTGAGCTATATCAGTTTAATTTTATTTATTTAAGAAGTTTTTATCAGTCTCATGTTTTTTTTTAGGAGTTTATGTATTTGGTCAACATTTAAAAAAAAACCAGTTTGTACACAAGTAGAAGCACATGGCCGCAATGCTGGTAATCAGGCAAATTGGATTGTTTCCGTTGCAGCACGGCGATACACAGATCTTATTGCATCAGGTTCATGTGATGGATTTGTTCGTTTGTGGAAAGTTGCGGAAGATTATAAATCAATAACAAATATTTTGTCTTATGAGCGAGTAGGTTTTCGCAATATTTTTTAATATTCTTGTAAGCTTGGCTTCAGACCGTTTAAAAATTCAGATTATTAAAAAAAAGCGAGACCACTATTTCGACTTTTTAATGAGTTCGAATAAATTAGGATGAAAGTCAGTAAAGCGAAATTAATTACTGGGGAACTAAGATAAAGTGGGCATCAGTAGCCCGTGATGCTGAAAAGAAGAATTGGAAAAAGTATATTTTTAGTTCTGATTTTCACTTGCAATTCTCAATCGTTATAATTCCATTCAGCGAAATTTCTGATGTCCATTGCAGTACTATAATGTTATACGTTATCTTAAAAAGTCCTGTTTAAATTTGAACTTTTTTTAGAGCGGCTTTATCAACCGGCTCAGGTTTTCGGACGATGGTGAAGAAGTGGCGTGTGCCGTGGGTCAAGAACACAAATTTGGAAGATGGTGGAAAGTTGCTGAAGCTAAGAATGTTGTTACAGTTTTTTCACTTATGTATGATGCTGTTGAATAATAGTCGGATTATTTAACGTCGTCTTTAGTGAAAGAAGTCACTATGCTAAATAACTGAATAGTTCTTTCGTTCGAAAAAATTGCAAAAATAGATGACTTTCTCTCTCAAACGGAGATTGTAA